GAGCTATATAGAAATATTTCTTAATTTCATTGGAATTAAGTTAGTATAAATCTGAAGCAGATTCTAATCAGTTAAAATGTATATAGTAGGTCCTAGAGCAAGTACTAAGGAAATGACTAAAAAAGTGAAAAAAAATCATTAAAGAAATTAAAATGTTACATGAAATATTCACTTCATGCAAAAGAAAGCACAAAAGGAGAAACAGAGGAACAAAACATGAGACATTTGGAGAACAAAAGGTAAAATGGCAAATATTCAACTGTATCAATAACATTAAATGTGAATAGATTAAACAACTCGATCAAAAGGCAGGTACTGACAGAATGAATTTTTAAAAATCTGACTTTATGGTGTTTACAAGAAACATGTTAGATTCACAGATAAAAATATCATTATAATAAAGTATACAATGGAAAAAATATTCTATGTAAACATTGTACAAAAGAGAGCTGGAGTGGCTACGCAAATATCAGAAAAAAATAGACTTTAGGGCAAAAATGTAACGAGACAAAGAGGGACATTATACAATAACAGGGTCAATGTATCAGAAAAATATAACTATAAACATGTAAACATATGTTCCTAACAGAGCCCCACAATATAAGAAGCAAAAACTGACAAAATTGAAAGGAGAAATATTATAACCATAACAGTTGGAGACTTAAACTCTCCATTTTCAATAATAGATAGGACAACTAGACAAAAGGGATCATAAGCATGACAGAACCAATAGAAAGATTTATTTACTGAAGCTGTGGTCCTACGTAATGTACAACAATAATTTACATTAACTTGCAATCTGCTTAATTTAATTGGCTAGCCAATGAACAAACAGCATGTTTGGGCAACATCTTTTTTAGAATATCCTCTTACTTTTTCTTTCAAAAAGGCAACAGTCTTCCAAGAGAATATTTAAAGATTATCTTTATCATGAAGAGCCCTCAGTTAAGTAAAATTTGAGAAGTTACTAATAATACATACCAAAGAGACAGCATGTCTTATTTAAAGCCTTTTATTC